GGCATTTGCAGCAACCTGGATGGGATTGGAGACTATTTTTCTAAGTGAAGTAACTCAGGAATGGAAAAACAAATATTGTACATTCTCACTCTTAAGTGGGAGCTAAGCCATAAGAACGGCACCATAGACTTTGGGGACTCGGGGAAAGAGTGGGAAGAGAGTGAGACATAAAAGACCACAAATTGGGTTCAGAATATACTATTTGGGTGATTGGTGCACAAAAGTCTCACATATCACCACTAAAGAACTTACTTGTGTAACCAAACACCACCTGTTTCCCAAAAACCTATGGAAATAATTTTTTTTTGGAAAGCTTAATTCTTCAATCAACTGACAATCAGAAAATCTTCGAATCCACGTTTGAGCTGTGAGCTCCCCTCACTCTAGTTCCATGATGTCCTGCCTCTCTGGACCAAACCAATGTATACCCTACATGTATTGATTTTTTTTTTTTTTTTTTGAGGCAGAGTTCTGCTCTGTCACCCAGGCTAGAGTGCAGTGGCACAATCTCCGCTCACTGCAACCTCTGGCTCCTGGTTTATCGTTTCTCCTGTCTCAGCCTCCCGAGTGTTGGGACTACAGGTACCCACCGCCATGCCCAGCTAATATTTTATATTTTTAGTAGAGATGGGATTTCACCATGTTGGCTTGATCTCCTGACCTCGCCTCAGCCTCCCAAAGTGCTGGGATTACAGACATGTATTGATTTATGTCTTTGTCTGTAACTTTTGCACCCCGAAAATGTAGAACCAAGCTGTAACCCAATTAACATAGGCACATGTTCTCATGACCCCCTGGCTGTTATAAGCCATGGTCACTCATTTTTCGTTCAAAATAAATCTCTTTAAATATTCACATATATAAAAAGTAACCCCTTTAAAGTACACAATTCAGCAATTTTTAGTATATTTACAATCTTTCTTGAATTCTAAAAACAGAGACAGATAGGTTCAGTTTAAGAAAGATTTTCTTTATTTTATGGTGGTGAAATATACAGAACGTATGATTTACCATTATAAGCATTTTTCTTTCCTTTCTTTTTTTTTTTAGATGGAGTTTTGCTTTTTTGCCCAGGCTGGAGTGCAATGGGACGATCTTGGCTCACTACAACCTCTGCCTCCCAGGTTCAAGTGATTATCCTGCCTCAGCCTCCTGAGTAGCTGGGATTACAGGTGCCTGCCACCATGTCTGGCTAATTTTGTACTTTAGTAGAGATTGGGTTTCACCGTGTTGGCCAGGCTGATCTCAAACTCCTGACCTCTGGTGATCTGCCTGCCTTGGTCTCCCAAAGAGCTGGGATTACAGATGTGAGCCACCATGCCCAGCCATGATAAGCATTTATAAATGTACATAAGGAAGATTTAAAAAGTCTTGCTATGTGCTCCAAGCGTGCATGCAGGGTGGGAAAACAGATGAGGTGAGAGATACTGCACTAAAGCAGTGGTTCTTAAAGCATCTGAGCCAGGGCCAGGCGCAGTGGCTTATGCCTGTAGTACTTTGGGAGGTGGAGGCGGGCGAATCACAAGGTCAAGAGATCGAGACCATCCTGGCCAACATGGTGAAAACCCATCTCTACTAAAAAAACCGAAATTAACTGGGTGTGGTGGTGCACACCTGTAGTCCCAGCTACTCAGGAGGCTGAGGCAGGAGAATCACTTGAACCTGAGAGACAGAGGTTGTAGTGAGCTGAGATTACAGCCACTGTACTCCAGGTTCATGATAGAGCGAGACTCCCATCTTAAAAAAAAAAAAAAAGAAGAAGAATTTGAGCCAGAAGAGGAGTTTTTTTTTTTTTTTGAGATGGAGTTTCGCTCTTGTTACCCAGGCTGGAGTGCAATGGCGCGATCTCAGCTCACCGCAACCTCTGCCTCCTGGGTTCAGGCAATTCTCCTGCCTCAGCTTCCTGAGTAGCTGGGATTACAGGCACGCGCCACCGTGCCCAGCGAATTTTTTGTATTTTTAGTAGAGATGGGGTTTCACCATGTTGACCAGGATGGTCTCGATCTGTTGACCTTGTGATCCACCCGCCTCGGCCTCCCAAAGTGCTGGGATTACAGGCGTGAGCCACCGCACCCAGTAGTTCCTGAATTCCTATCCACAATTTGTGGGCCAGTTAGAACAGGTTGCATCAGCCCTGATTCAGTGTTCCTTTAAGTAACCTTGCGTTAGAGGAAACTTCCAGTGAATTTGAACAACTGTAGTTTTCTTCCCAGTTTCTGTCTTACACACACAGACTCTTTTCTCCTAGAGAGGTCCCAGGTGACTTTGTCCTCCTTGGGCTCAGCTGTGGCCTCTGAACTCCCATTGAGAAATAAATCCAGTGCCCTGTGGATGGGTGATTGGCAGGTACCGTGCCTGCAGGGTCACGCCCTCCTGCACAGTTAGGAGTTCCCTGACCTCCGCAGACACTGCGACACTGGCAAAGAAACCAGTCTGGGGACCAGGGAAAAGAGGCAGAATGGGGAGCTTCCTGGCCCTCAGGCAAGCAGCAGCTAGGTGAGGGCAGTTACCAAAATGGCAATCCTAGCTGGTGGCTGGCAAACCTTCCTGAGATGTAGCATTCAAACCACATAGTTGTTAAATAGCCGTAACTATGTCTTAAATAATCAGTTCAGCTGGTCTTTATTTAACATAACAGCTGCCTATTAAACCTAAATTAAGTACAGAGTTCAATGTCTCTGGGACACAAAAACCCCAAAATGACTGCCAAACCCAAAATGCAACCTCTAGCTGGAAGGAGCTGCAAACGTGTCTGCCTGGCCTGGGTGTGTCTGGTCTGGAGAATGCACTGTCTGAATCCCACTGTCCAGCTGTCTGTGCTGGAAGAAGAATATTTCCCAGCACTGGGGCGAGGCGGGGGACAAGCTTTGGAATACACTTCAATCCTGATTATATCTCATGACTGCTTTAGTCTTGTAGACATTTCTGAATTTGCCAGAAGTACAGAGTCACCTCCAAGAAGCACTGTGAGGCCTGTATGGCCTCGAATATGCCAAGTGTTGGCAAGTTCAGGCTCTTCTTTCTATGCCCACTCCCCTGGCATAGAACAGGTCCTTACCCACACTCAGGGCTGCAGCCCCCCACCCTCCTTCTATGCCATCCTCTATCCTGCCATCATTCATTAATTCATTCCAGAAATACTTTCTGAGGACCCACTATGTACTAAACACTCAGCAAAAACAGCCCCCAGGGCTGATATTTTGGTGGGAGAGGCTGCCACTATTCAGAGTGGTCTTTCTAAAAGGCCATCTGTCCCCCGATCACTCAACCTCCAGGAATAAAAGGCCCTGTTTCTTTCTCCTTTCTTATTTTATGCCTCTGCCTTCTTCCTTTGGGGGCCAGCCCGTCCACCTACTCAGGGACATCCCTCAGCTCCTTCTGGGGACCCCCTGCATAAACATTACCTGGATGGTAGTTAAACATGCAGATTCCCAAACCCCTCTCCAGACCTAGGGAACTGGAATTTTTTTGTTGGTTGGGCTGGAGAGCCAACCCTTTCATTTTGAATCAGATTCCACTGGTGACTTGGCTGTGTACTAAGGTTAGCAAGTCACTACTATTGAGTGTTTCCCAAATGTCTGCCACATTCAGGGTTTGTCCCATGCCTCCCTCTGCCTGAGTGTGCCCTGGTCCCCTTGATCTGCTTGGGGACACTTATCTGTCAAGACTCAGCTCAGTGTCACAGCCTCAGTGGCCTATCCTGCCCCTCCCCCACAGCAGAGTTGGTGGTTTCCTGCCAATGTCCCGTTTCTTCAAGGCACATGCTTCAAGGTCCCACAGGGGCCTTCAATCAATGAAGAGCTCTGTGTGTATAGCGGAGCCCTAGAAAGCTGGAGTCCCCGAGGGCCAGTGGGCTCCTCTCCATATCCCACCCCTAGGTGGGACCAGCGCCCCCCACCTCCCCACAGCTGTGTACACAGTGAAGCAAGGGCCGCAGTGTCCAGGACAGCCATGAAAAGAGGAGGCTCCAGTCCTGCCTCCCCAGCTGCTCTCCAGCCTCTTAGTCCCCATACCGCAACCTCAGGAGGGCTGTCGGCATTTCGATTTTGAGCATAACTTGATTTTTCCTCTGCTGGAGAAGACTGGCAAAGCTAAGTATCCCTCGAAGTTCAGGACAAACAATGAGCCTCATCTATTCTTTATAAGGAGAGTTTCATTCAGTATGGCAGGAAACTGTTCTTATGGGATGGTTTGGCCCAGTTAGTCCAAGCTTGGTTTTCTCTTGTGGTGTGGAATTGGAACTCATCTCCTGCTGCCTGTCAGAAAACTCTTCCTAAGAGTGCAGGCATTGCTATGTCATGTGGATGACCAGATTGCTAAGGGTAAGGGTGAGAAAGGACCAGTGTCAGTGATGTAATCAATTTTTTGCTTTCCACATTTTAAAATCAAATTCATTTGCTTTGTCTAATAGACCAGACACATGTTTTCTTAGTTCATCCATTTACTCACTTGTCTGGGAAGATCTATTCTGGGGGGCAATTTTTGCTTTATTGAGAAGACAATGTAATCCATAATGAGAAATTTTCCATCTTCACGCTTGTGCTGAGGACGGCAGGTGGCTGTGAATGGCTGATGGAGATGGGCGGAGCCTGCTGTCCTTTCTCAGTTCTGCCCGATGCTTGCTGGAGGTGGGAGTCACAGCTCCCAGCTCAACTGTGTGGGCTGAAACCTGGCTTTTCCAAAGCATTTTGTTATGAACACTAGATCCAAGGCACAATTTTTAGTTCTTATTTTCTTTAATCCAACAGGAGGTTAACGTGTAGTCTTTGTAGCCAGACAACTTGGTTTCAAATTCAGTGTCCTTTCTTGGCACTTTGTCTCCATTTGCCACTAAAACGTGGGCTTTCCTGAGGGTGCTATCTTTAGTCTGTTTTTTCCTTTCTTTTTATTTAACACACACTTTTGGGGGCGATTTAACTTAATCCTGTGGTGCCAACGGTTCTCTCCTTGGTTCTCACCCTCCAGGCCTGGGCTTTCAGCTCAACCTTTCTGTTGCTGTGCATCTCCATGTGACTGTTTCATGGGCACCTCCACATCTGAACTCGTCTTACCATCATGGTCCCTCCCCACATGATAAACTCGGCTGTCTCTTCTTTCTTGGGTGTCTTGTTCATAGTTATTTCACATTCTGGACTTTGCCTTTTAACATGCATCAATCAATCAATGTCTCTCCTGAAAATGATAATACTAATGAACACATGACATAATAATTTTAGAAAAGGTAAACCAGATAATAAAATGCTTGTCCATGAAATCTTTCCTTTGCACGTACAGTGAAATCAAAACTCTTCACAGTGGCCTAAGACTGGCCTTTAGCCTGTCCTCCTTCACTGGCTGAGCTTCAACAGACCCTACTGTTGAGCCATCCCAAACAATATTAGCATCAGAGTGGAGAAAGGACATGTTTCTCTAAAAACTAATGTCTTTCTGCCAAAAACAGAGTTTCAAAATAGCTCATAACTTAGTACATGGCTAGAAATTACTGGACATCAGAAGGGAAGTTGACCTTGAAAATGGACATAGGAGGAGATAATAAATACAGCCATGAATAACATCATCTTATGATCACAGCTTCATGTTTCCACATCCAGGGAGTGAGAGGTGATTCACAAAATTTCAGTTAATTGTTCAACTCTGGTTGTCATCCTGGCTTTCCCTTGGACAAGCCACCTTTTTCCCTGTTGACCTTAGTTCATCCACCTTTAAATTGAGGGGATTGAACTAGACCACTAGTACTCATAGGACACTTTTGGGGAATTTGTGGGAACATTTTTGACCATCACAGCAATGAGGCAGGTTTCTACTGGCATTAGTAGGTGGGGACCAGAGAGTCATGGGACCCTGTGGGGCACAAGGCATCCCGAGCCAGGTCCCACTGACATTTCTCTGCTGATCATTCAGGGGGTAAAAATCTTGTCGTAATGACCTAGGCCTCAAATCCAACTCTGTTTTACGTATAAACTCAATCCACTGTTTCGTGGTTTTAATATACACTGAGTTTTCAAGGAAGGCGAGTACGATGTAAATGGGAGAAAGTGTGTACTTGGTTTTGCTTGTAGCTTTACCAAGAATTGCTCACATTTTGGAAAATCTCATCAATGATGACAACACCCTTCCTTCAGTTTGAGGTGCTGATGTAGTGCTTTCACTCTACACTTGTAAGCACTGGATTCTTGGTGATAGTGTGTCTATCACTGACGTGGTTTGGGTCTGTGTCCCTGACTGGATTCTTGGTGACTGTGTGTCTATCACTGACGTGGTTTGGGTCTGTGTCCCTGACTGGATTCTTGGTGACTGTGTGTCTATCACTGACGTGGTTTGGGTCTGTGTCCCTGACTGGATTCTTGGTGACTGTGTGTCTATCACTGATGTGGTTTGGGTCTGTGTCCCTGACTGGATTCTTGGTGATTGTGTGACTATCACTGATATCACTGACGTGGTTTGGGTCTGTGTCCCTGACTGGATTCTTGGTGATTGTGTGACTATCACTGATATCACTGATATGGTTTCGGTCTGTGTCCCTGCCCACAATCTCATGTCCAATGGTAATCCCCAGTGCTGGAGGTGGAGCTTGGTTGGCGGTGACTGACTCATGGGCGTGGCTTTTGCATGAGCGGTTTAGCACTGTCCTCCCCGGTGCTACTCTAGTGATTTAGATCTGGTTGTTCAAAATTGTATGGCACCTCCCCCTGCCCCTTGATCCTGCTTTTGCCATGTGAGATGCCTGCTCCGCCTTCACCTTTTGCCATGACTGGAAGCTTCCTGAGGTCTCCCCAGAAACATAAGCCAATGTTATGCTTCCTGTACAGCTTGCAGAATGATGATCTCTTTTCTCTTTTCTTCATCATTTACGCAGTCTCTAATGTCAACTAGAAAGTGCAGATGTAGCAGAGTGGCAGGAGAGAAAGAAAGGACCAATGTAGGTGACATGTAATATGTATGAATACATTGAAGTATTCATTATGTTTTCCTGATGTATTTGTGAACAAATAGAGAACATGCTGGACTTCCATTTTATTCTATATTACTTCACTTCTCATTTATATTACAAGGCATTATATTGGTTTTTGAAATTATGTACATAGGTAGGTTATATGTCAATAGTTTCATTTAAGGACAGCCAAGGTGGGGCTGGGTGCGGGTGGATAATGAGGTCAAGCGATCGAGACCATCCTGGACAACATGGTGAAACCCCAACTCTACTGAAAATACAAAAAGTAGCTGGGTGTGGTGGTGTGCACCTGTAGTCCAAGCTACTCCAGAGGCTGAGGCAGGAGAATTGCTTGAACTAAGGAAACGGAGGTTGCAGTGAGCCGAGATCGCACCACTGCACTCCAGCCTGGCAACAGAGGGAGACTCTGTCTCAAAAAAAAAAAGGAAAAAAAAAAGAATAGCCAAGTGGGTGTTGTGAAATATTGTCATAAACATTTTGTAAAATGGGATGTGGGGTCTCACAGGGTTAAGAGTCTTTGAAGTGAATACTTTTCAGCGTAATACTTTAAGATATAAAGGCCAGCCAGAACTTCTAACAGAGGGAATGAGAGGCACATTACCTGGGGAAATCACATATATGTGTTCTTCACAGTGGCAAGCCCTCCCACCCCTGCCTCCCCACCCCACACCCCACCACGTTTAAACAAACGGCAATTATTTAACCCTACACATCTTCCTCTTCCCTGGGAGTCAAGTCCACCCTCATAATCTTCCCTGGCAACTGTTGCTAGGAAGATGCTGCCTCTTGAGCTGACCTTCCAAAGGCGTGATATCATAGCCAGCTGTCTCCCAGCCGCTGATGAGGGGATCAATTTTGCCCGGGACAGTGACGGAGAAATAAGCAAACAGAGCACAAACAGCAACAGTTCACGCAAGATGCCGGGGACAAGGGGGTTGTCTGATGTGAAGGAAGACAATAAAAAAAAGAACCATTGCCATAGTCTGTCCCTGCCCTTTCTTGTTATCGCAGAGATGGAGACACCATAAGGGGACCTGTTAATTTGGCCTCTTTCATTAAGTCGAGGCTTAAGAGAGGACAGCCGACAGCGTCCACTTCACCGCTTCAACTTTTGCAGCTCTATTCTTTTGCCACAGCTGAGTAGTGATAACAATGATGACAGTGATAACGATAGCTACCATTCATAGATACTCCCTTTGTTCCTGGCTTTGTCCTAAGTGCTTTACATGAATTACTTCATTTAATCCCCACGGCAACCCTATGAGGGAGATATCACCGGCTCTCCTATTGTGCTAATGAAGAAATGGCTCTCAGAGAGGAAATTGCTTGTCCGGTTCCTCCCAGCCAGAGTGGCAGAGTGGGCTTGGATCTCAAGTCTGACTGGCCACCAGCTGGCCCATGAAGCCCCGCACTAGGATATATCTTGTTTTCTATGCTTTATTCACTGAGTTTGATCATTTGCTGTCAGTATGAACAAATACAGGTAATAATGCATGTGTGAATTTATTCTTCTATTTCTTCCTTTCTTTTTGGTATGAACAGATACAGGTGATAGGGCATGTGTGAATTCCTTTCCTCCCTGCTTCCCTCACTCCCTCCCTCCCTTCCTTCCTTCCTTCCTTTGGGACCCAACTCTGGGCTTGCTGCCAAGCTCACTGGGAACCCAGGTGAGTAAGACCCACTCCCTTCCCCAGGGAGCTGAGGGTCTGGTTCTCTAGAATCGAGCTTCTGCTGAAGGCTTGCTCTTGGCAGCAGCACACAGCCTCTTTGATCCTGTGGGGTGTGGGAGGGGCGGGGTGAGGGAGCACCCAGTGTCCTTCTCAGATGGAGGCAGGCTGTTCAGCTGTACGGGTGCTCATGAAACACGGGTTGATTGTTTTACCTTCCACCTTCATCCAGTGCTTCCAGGCCAGGATGGTGACCTTAGGGTTAAGGGGAGGAACACACGCCACGTGTCAGCATTCATTTGTCTGGTGACACTTGGTGTTAGACATTGCACTTTGGCTCATTTAATCTGCAGAATGACATCGACTGGGACATGTGGGCTTCAAACGTGGCTCGGTAAGAAAATTACTGGGCAAAAGGGTGGGCAGGAGCACCCTATGCTCAGCCTGGGCTCTGCGAGGCATTCATGCAGGCTGCCGAATCTATGATGAGTTTTCAACCTCTTTCTCTGACTTCCACTTGGTTCTGTGCAGGATTTGGGCCCAAAAGAATTGGATTGGTGGATGTGGCAGAACCTCTGCCTGCAGATGTAGGGAGCTGCCTTATCAGGATGTGCAAAGGGCAGAGGCAGGTGCCAGGAGATGTCTTTGCAGGTCTGCCCTGAAGGCACTAGCTGGGCCGCTCTAGTGACTTTAGGATTCCCTGAAGGTCTCCTTAGTGAGTGATGCTCCATCAGCTTCCCCATTGCAGCCTGTGCTGCTGTTCACTCCCACACTGGGCCCAAGCAGGGGCAGCAGCCAGGCTGGGTCTCAGGGCTAAGCAGGGCCAAGCTGCCCTCCACATGGCCCATGCAGTGGTTTTTTTCTCTTCTCTGTCTTTCAGCCCTTCTTCCTCTTTTCCTTCTCTTCATCCCTCCTTCCCTCTCTTCTTTCCTTTTGTGGGAAGTAGAAAAGTTCTTTTTTGACGTTTTCTTTCTTGCTAAACAATAAATCATAAATGTGCTAATAATTCTTTGTTGAGCCCTATCCTATGTAGCTGTTAGACATGCCATGCTTACAGGCACATAGTACATTCTATGTCCTTGTACTTTAATCAAGGTATCTGTGCTGGACGTGCTCACAAGCATGTCCCAGCTCTCCATTGCTCTTACCTGTTTAAAAAAGTTTTAAGTTATCAGTCAATCAGGTTTTAGTTTAAATTGTGAGGTCTGGCTCCAGCCAACAGAGATCAGACACAGCAATAAGGATGACCCCCAAATGCATAAGGGATACTTTGTTTTCCTTTGTTCATTGTACTCTCATAGCAAGATGGCTTGTGAGAGTACCCTTCCTGCAGTCCAGGAAGTAAAAACTGTGTTGCTGAAAGATCCTTTGTCTCAGTGCTAATTTTTCTTAGCAGCACTGAGCATCTGTTTCTAACACCTTTCCTTTATTCTCTTCTTTTCCCTCCTTCCCTCCCTTCTTTCCCTTTTCCTCCTTCCCTCCCTCCCTCCCTCCCTTCCTTCCTTCTTTCTGGAATTGGCATTAAACACTGAAAAAAATTCTGTTTTGTATTT